AAAAAAAAAAAAAAAAAAAAAAAAGAAGAATGCAAAGAACTTTAAAAAGAACTAAATAAAGTTTGGGAGAATAATTTTTATTTTTAAAATACAAAATTTTATACATATAAAGAGAACCAACCACATTCATTTACATAAGGTTGCATCTATCAAAATTAAAGGGAGTTGTGATTTTGTCTGATTTGGTCCTTTCAGCACTAAGAAAAAGGCTGAAAGTCCTACTGTAAACTCAATGGAACAGATGCACTTTCACAGAGGACTCTACTATGTAGATAAAGAGAGAAGAGAAAAGCAGTTAAGAAAACGTGACATAAAGTATAATGTGAAGGAAACGTCATTCTTACCATTTTCCTTTTTGATGACAATGATGGTTCATTTATCTGGAACGAGAAGAAATAAAATGAGTTTTCAAAGCTGCTTTGCAAATTTTTTCATTTATTTGCACTCTTAGTTCACTCTTACTTCTACAGAGGTTGATTCTCTACTCGTTCTTCCTACTGCCCTGGCTGTCTTTTGATTGGCCAGTGGAGAACCAGAGGAGGAGGGTAACTACTTTTCTGTCAATCCAGATCACAGGGCAGAACCAGAAAGATGGGGATTGCGCAGATTATTAGGTGAGTTGCTTCAAATTACCTAGAGATTTTATTTATTCTTGGTTCCCTTTACCTTGCATGATTAAGAAGTTTGGGATGGTTACAACATAAAATTAATAGATGAACGCTACAAGCCATCATATCTTCTAAGCTTAGAAGTTATAGCCAACACACAGGCACAACATCCAACATCAGAAAGAAAGGAAGAAGTATGATGCTGATTATAATTATATTCATGGAGAATTGTGAAAGTGACATTAAGAACTTTGTTATTATTAAACTTGCATACAATCATGAGGAAGTGTATGTGTTTCGCTATCTCAATTTCACATTGATCAGAATTTACAGTTCTTTACTTTGTATACAGAGATGTAAAATGCTTGAATTAAACTGGAGATCCTGGAATACAGTGGAAGAAAAAATGTGGGACAAATTAAAAAACATAAAAAAGACCAGGATTACTGGTTAGCTAGAGACTGGTGAACCCCGAGACTATGGCCCTGAGTCACTCTTTGGGCCTGGAACTGGACTCACTGCCATGGCTCAACTCTCAGCCAAACAACAGACAGGCCTACGGGCTGAACACCTACACCAGGCAGACGCACTTCTTAGAACAGCCAGCCCTGGGAGATCGGAAGGGCAGTTTGCACAGGGAGAAAGGCAGGCAGGCAGGAACCCAAATGTAAGGACACATGGAAGGGGTAACCACAGTGAGGAGGTAGGAGGAGAGCTGCTACATTGTGGGTACTGTTACTTAAATGTATATCAACATTTCAACAACAACAACAAAAAATTAGTTTTGTTTCAACAAAAACAAACTCTTCTAAGTTTTTTCACAATGGTTGGTTAGAGTGAGTTCTTCTCATGTCGGAGGTTGTGCCTATGTGTTGCTATAGCTTTCTAAGGATAGAAGAGAAGATGGCTTATAGCGTTTGTCTATTAATTTTATATTGTAAACGTCCCAAACTCTTTAATCCTTGTAAAACAAAATGTATATTAACCGTTAAATGTAAAATGGATCTGCTTTGTAAAATTCCCAAACCACAATAAAAAGTTAAATACATAAATAAAACAGAAACATACTTGAATTGAGTTTCTGTTTATGGGGATGGAAAATTTGGTAATGGATATTGGTGATGGTCACACAACATGATTGATGTAATTGGTGAAAAACACTGACTTAGTAAATGTTGTGTTCCCTATACTTTAACAATAAAAAAAATTCTAAGTGCTGAGATAAATTTTTAGAAATAAGTTAAATCTATAGAATTCTAGTAAGATAAATATATTTTCTAACAGTAGCATGTAGATCACATTGTAACATTTTGAGATTTTTTAAAAATAAACCAAAGTACTTGCTATAAAACTACTGAAGTTTATTATTGTTATGTATCAGATTCATGTAAAAGATTAGAAAAGAAAATATATATATGCTAGTGTGTGCTACTCAGTAAATAAGGAAAGGATTTACATAATTTTCATTTATAATTTTGCCCGATATATAATTAATTATATAAGTGATTGTACAGTGCCTATGAAGTCTTGGGAAAAGTGGGAAAGGAAAAATTCATGAGATGATGATTGACTTAAAAGAAAAAATTGAAGGTAATACTGAAATTTTCAGTGGCACAAGAAATTCCACTACATATAACTCCTTAAAAGAAGAAAGAGAACCATCAACTTCTTTCATGGCGTACTGAAGCTAGCAGAACATAATACTCCAATATATTTGCCATTGTTTAAATAAGTGATTTTAAATAGAGCTTTTGTATAATCTTGTCTTCCAGATATTGCTGTTATTATTATAATAATTTATTCTTTTTCTCATAACAATAATAAAATAGGAATACTATTATTACTACATTTAAATAGATAAATTGTAAGACTAACAAGTGCAAGGCTCCCATTCTAATTTTGAAACACACAAACCACTCAAAAATAAGGATGAACCAACAAAGTTCCTCGGCACATTTTTGCAAACTTGTACATCACATCTCAACCTGTCAACATTTAAAAAAAATATGGTTCACCATATTCTTACTTGGTTTAATTTAACTCACTGGAACAAAGTGGGACTCATGAGATTTAAACAAGCACTTTCTTCTTGTGACTGCAAAATGTTAAGTTTTTATTATTAAGTCCTCTTACACTAAAGAATCAAGATTCTTCTCAAACTTCCTTTAATAATGAAACTCTTATTCTAATGACTATCTTCTTTTTCTTTGCAGAATTCAGTAGTGTGTTTTCACCTAAGTACCAGACACATGATAATGAGGCCAACTAACTATGTAGTGCATATCTGCAATGTTGCAGAACAGTAAAATGCCAGAATAGGTTACCCCAGTCAAGGCTACAATTTTTGAACTTCAGATTGTTTTTTTTAAAAAAAATACCAGTATAAAAGTTTTCTGCTTTAAGAACTATGTACATATTTAACAAAAACAGTAAATAACAGAAAAGAAAAACAAAAGAAAGATTATGAATTACTTGCCTCCTGTTGTTCCATGTATTCTCTATGTCTCCGAGCTGCCTCATGTCTCCATAACTTGAGACAGACCAAAGCGCTAACGAGATACACAATCATGGTGACAAATAGGAAGATCATCGCTGCAATCTGTCCCCCTTCTACTCGACAGAACACTGCATTCATTGGTGTATTAAATAATGGATAGTAGCAGAGTCCACCTCGGTTGGTATCATTCACATAGACTATGGCTCCAGCCATATACAAAATAAACAAGGCAACATTAATTCCAAATTCAGTCAGGGGCCACCAATTAGAGTCCAAAAGAATAGTACGATAATACATGGACATGCCAAGAACCAGAACAATAATGGTGGCGATCCAAGCTAAACCAGCAACCACGAGTACAAAAGGAGTCTTAGGGCCACTGTAGTAATAGCCCCCATACATACTGCCCAGGCCACCAACGCTTCCAACACCAAAGGGCTGTGAATATCCAAACAAGTTATACCACTCGTTGTCCTTGTGAATGTAAGCTGTGACACAAGCAAAGACGCCTGTACCCAGAAGCAGCTCCACAACACCCAGAATTCTCAGCAGACCTGCCCAAGACTTCATATAGGAATATCTCAGATTATACTCTTCCACCTTCTCACTGTACGTTCGAGCTGTTTGTGTGTGTCGACCTAGAGATCCATAGGGATCGTGGGGAAGCATTGCATCAGCCTCCTTCTGGGAACTGAAAGACCCTCCGTAAGGACCCTGGCAGGAGTTGAGGGATGAAGGGTGCTTTGATCTTTGTGGAGAGGCTGGAGGTGAACACTCCACTCCATCGGAGATGTATCTGATGTCAGATACTGGTTTATCCCATTCTGGGTCCTTTTTCTTCCCTTTGAAGAAGTTCTTCCAAGAGTCAGGGACAAAGCGCCTTACGGGTTTGAGATCTGGTGCGATGGCTGGTTCCTCTGTGTCACTTGAGCAGAAGTCTGGGCCAAAGGGTGGCTGTAACGGGAGAGGGGGTGGTGGCAAAGGATCAGCGCTCACAGCCAGCTGGCTGCTGTGGAGACTCTGCAGTGTTCCTATGCTGCCATCCTGATGGCCCAGGGTCACCGGGGCATCATCGCAGAACCTGTCCCGACTCTTGGATCTTCTGTCATCTGACGACATTTGTGATTTTTCACACCTGTAGCAGAGACTAACATTATCACTGATGCTTTCTTATCTACCCATTCAATGATACCTCATAAGCTTTTATTATTCATTTACTAGCAAATTATTGCATTCAGGAGACCAACATGATCATTTCTATTTACTATGATCTATAAAAATGACAGTGTAACTATGTATACTTTTAAACATATGTAACAATTATGTTAACAACAACAGAAAAAACCCACTTCCCTCCAGTCATTCCAACTGAAAGCGACCCTGTAGGATGGAGAACTTCCCATAAGGTTTCTAAGGCTGTAAATGTTTACAGAAGCTGACTCCCTTATCCTACCAGCAGAGCGGCTGGTGGGTTTGAACTATCAACCTTTTGGTTAGCAGCCCAATGTTTTAACCACTGTGCTGCCAGTTAGCCAGTGATATAGTCCTCACTCTATACTATTTTAAGGGTAATCAAAAATTTAAATCTTAGTTGTAAATTTCACAAGTTGAAATATTAAAATAATTTTAGTGTATCTGTGAGACCTGTAAACAACAGAATGTAAATAACAAAAACAACAACAAAATTTTAACAATATAGGACACCAACATTTTCCTAAGTAGAATCCTTCCCTCACATGTCGAAATCAAAATATTTGCGTTTGAGCATACCAAATGATGGGTCAGCAAATACTCTTCGTTTTCATTAACTCAAATCTGCTTTGGAATGGCCAGAGGAGAAGCAGCCTATTAAAACACATAGACTGAAGAGACTCTTTTCTCCCTAAATCAGAGAATTTAGAGAGTTGCTTTCTCCACTCTAAAGTATTAACACTCAATACTAGATTGTAAAAATTGAATTCTTAAGAGATAAAAATTGCTACAGGATAATGTAGGAGCTCTGGTAGCATAGTGTCTAAGGCACTTGACTGCTAACCAGAAGGCTGGTGGTTCAAATCCACCAGCCACTCCTCAGAAGGAAGGTTGGGCAATCCTACTTCAGTAATGACACTGCCTCGGAAACCCAAGGAGGGGTCACTATGAGTCGGCCGACTCGACGGCGCATAACAACAACAACAACATAGAATAATGTTTCCTGAAGGTACAACACAGAGCAGCAGTAATGACCAAATATTATTTCTTAAAAAGTAATTATCTAAAGTTGATTTGTTGTCTGAGATGGAAGGACAAAGGATGTCTCTAGTGGGTGTTCAATCCATCTCAAAAAAATAAAAGCATAAAATAAACACTTTTACTAAACCTGTTGCTTTCTTTCATGAAATCAAGGACCTGGATACATATACAAAAAAGGATAAACATTTGTTAACGTAACTACTAGGTTAAAGACACAATGAATTTATCCTTCAGGTTATTTATTTGCTAGAATGTTTTGAAGACTTACTGGGCACATGGCATTTTACTTGACAATAGGTAAGTTCGAAAATTAAGATGATCCCACCTCTATAATGTTGAACAACCTGGAAATTCCCAAGGTGTTCTTCTACTTTACTTTGTAAAATGTAAAATCCCTATCATTCAACAAATTTACACTCCTCAACCATGTATCTGAAGGAGGCCTGGTTGCGCTGTGTGTAAGCATTTGGCTGTTACTGAAAGGTCAGTAGTTCAAACATACCAGCTGCTCCAAGGGAGAAAGATGTGGCAGTCTGCTTCTGTAAAGACTGCAATCTTAGAAACCTTATGGAGGAGTTCTACTCTGCCCTATAGGGTCACTGAATTGGAATCGACTCGATGCCAATAGGTTGGGTTTGGTATCATGTGCTAAGGTCCCTGGATGGTACAGTTTGTGTTTGACTATTAACCTAAAGGCAAGCAGTTCAAACCCATTCGATGGTGCTAAGAAGCCTGGTGATCTACTTCTGTAAATATTACGGCCAAGGAGACCAGTCACCCATGAGGGTGCTATGAGTTGGAATCGACTCAAAGGCAATTTTAAATTTTTTTAAATATAATGTACCAAGCATGCTGAAGGTATATCAATGAATTTAAGCACACTAAAAGTCCTGCTTCATGGAGCTTAAATTCTAGTGTGGGGACACAGATGGTAAATAAGGTCAGTGAAATATATAGTATGCTGAGGAAAAAGTTAAGAAAGGGGATAAGGAATATATGTGGGCAAGGTGTAACAATTTTAAATAGAGAACCAGGGATGTCTTCACAGAGAAAGTGACATGACAGAAACTGAAGGAGGTAAAGGAAGTATACCTGACAGGTATCAGGAGGAAGAGTGCTGCAGGCAGATGGTACAGCTAGTGCAAAAGCCCTGAGGCAGGGAGGGGTGCCTGCCATATTTGAGCAATATTAAGACACGCAGGTCAGTGTGGAAACAGCAGAGTGAGAAGGTGAGTGTAGAAGCTGAGGCCAGCTGAATTATATACTGCCTCAGTAACCACTGTAAAGGAGCTCTGGTAGCATAGTGGCTAAACACTTGACTGCTAACCAGAAGGCTGGCGGTTCAAACCCACCAGCCACTCCTCGGAAGGAAGGTTGGGCAATCCTACTTCCGTAGTGATACTGCCTCGGAAACCCAAGGAAGGGTCGCTATGAGTCGGGGCCGACTCGACGGCACATAACAACAACAACAACAACAACCACTGTAAAGGACTTTAGCTTTCACTGAGTGAGATGAGAAGCCACTGAAGGGTTCTGAGTAGAAGAATGATACATGAGTTTTAATAGGATCACTTCAGATGCTGTGTCGAGAACTATGGTACAATGAATTACTTGGTATGGCTCTCCTAGCCATGGTCTTTGTGATTCCCACCAGATTACTGGGTCGAACTATGCAAATATAAGGTGTTTGTGGTCTATCAAGGGGATTAGATTACTTGTTAATAATGTAATAAGGTACATGGCACCTTGCAGGGGTGGGACTATGCAAATATGGTCTATGGAGCACTAATATGGGACTGGTTAGTTCTGTCATTCCACTAGGTTTAAAATGATCCCTTCTAGAGGCAGTAGACTGGCTCTCCCTGCCATCAAGAAAGAGGAGCTGGAGGTGGCGCGGAGCGTGTCCTTAGACCGGAGATCCCTGCACTGTACCTCCTTGGCAGAGACAAGCGGCACAGAGACAGCTGCAGTGGAACCACAGAACAAGAAAGCTGAGTGCATTTGGGAAGGAGGCTTGCTGGTGGAAAGGGGCGCTCCTAGGTGCCCTACTGGCAGAGCTAAAAGAACTTTGTAATACATGCCCGAGCAAGGAAGAGGCCAGGCCAAAGGCGTAACTGAGGACATAGCAGAAGGGAGAGTATCCTGATTGAAGAATTGTATCTTGAGTGTTCCCAAGCCAAAACTGTATCTGGTTACCCTCCTAGTAATCCCCATAATCGTGAGTATTGTCTGTGAGTTCTGTGTGGCCACTACAACAAATTATCCAACCCAGCAGAGAAGTAGAGTGGGAGAGATGGTGTCAGAATTGGCAGAAAGACTAGAGGGTGGCAGCATGTCTGGCCTCACAGGAATAAGTCTCAGGCTGCTGACAGTGATTTTCTCTCCCCCTTGTGAGGTTAGAGGAGGTCAAAAGAGGATGCTGCCCTCATGTCCTTTTCATAAGAGTACATTCCAGGTGACAAGGGCTAAAACAGGAGAACTGGCTAGAAGGCTACTAAAATAATTGAATGGACTACAGTGGTGGCAATGGAAATAATGAGAAAGGGAAAACTCTAAATAAATATGTTCTTGTTGTTAGTTGCTATAGAGCCAATTCTGATTCATAGTGACCCCATGCGACAGAGTAGAGCTGCCCCGCAAGGTATTGTAGCTTGTATTCTTTATGGAATCCTGAAGTGGTGAAGTGGTTAATGCACTCAACTGCTAACCAAACGGTTGGTGGTTCAAACCCACCAGTCTATCTGAAGATGATGTGGCAGTCTGCTTCCATAAAGATTTATAGCCTTGGAAACCCTATGGGACAGTTCTACTCTATCCTGTTGGGTTGCTATGAGTCAGAATCGACTCAGTGGCAATGGATTTGGCTTGGTTTTGGTTTAATCTTTATGGGAGCAGATCACCAAGTCTTTCTCTTAAAATTCTAAATGTAGGAAATGAATTTTTTTTTTTTAATTATTATAGAAGGTTTCAAACATAAAAGGTAGAGAGAGTATTATTTACTTCCCAATATCTATGATATTATATATTTGTATTTCACAGGATACCTCATTGCTTAATTTAACTTATCAGTAAAAGTAATTCCTTGTGTATCCATCAACTAGCTTCAATAATTACCAACTCATAGTCAATCTTGTTTCATCTATATCCGGCCCCCCACCCTGCCATTCTCTCTGTCAATAAATTCTTCTAGAGCAAATCCCAGCCATCAGATCATTTCAGCTGCTAATATTTCATTTCTCTGCCCCACCAGCTCAGTCCTGGGGAGGAGCAGGCTGGAGACAGTTTGAGATGCCTGTTAGGAGTCCAGGTGGAGATGTCAAGTGGGCAACCCCATGAGTGTCAGAAGAGGGCTGTGCTCCATATGGTTTTCAACGGCTGATATTTTGAAAGTAGATCACCAGGCCTTTCTTCTGAAGTGTCTGTGGGTAGACTTGAACTTTCAGGTTAGCATCTGAATGTTAACCTTTACACACCCAGGGATTCCTAGTCTATACACAGAAGGATAAATAATACCAAGAGTGGGTGTATATAGAGAAGAGGTCCAAGAAGGAATGCCAACGTCCTCTAACGGGGCACCCCGATATTAGAGGATTAACTGTGATAACCCCAGCATGATGCCCCCCAGTGGAGCTCTATTAATGATGGCAATTATTTTTATCTTTTTAGTATCTGTTATCCAAAAAAATTTAAATCTAGAAGACTGAGAATAGTAGTACTGTAGTTTTTCAAATACACATTCCTAATAAATGTAGAAACAAAAGCACAACAAATGAACTTTAGCAAGTTTTACATAAAACCAAAACAAAACCCACTGCCATCTGGTCGATTCTGACACATAGTGATCCTATAGGACCAAGTAGAACTGCTACATAGGGTTTCCAAGGTTACAAATCTTTCCGGAAACAGACTGCCACATCATTCTCTCCTGCAGGCCTGGTGGGTTTGAACTGATGACCTTTCAATGAGCAGAGTGCTTAATCAATGCACCACGAAGGCTCCCTATAAGTTTTATATAACGTTTCTCAATATCTATGCTATTGTATGTATGCATTTTAAAGGATACTTCATTGCTTAATTTAACTTACTGATAAAAGTGATTTGTCATAATGGATTCAACTCATCATCTTCACTTGTGAAAAGTGGCTTACCACATTTTCAATGTTTGAATTGACTTGATGGCAATACGTCTGGTTTTTGGGTTATCAACGTTTAAATAAAAAGACAAACTAAGTAATTTGAAGAACTGTGGAATAGCAAAATATATGATTTTCCAGAAGGGAACGGTCAGCTGAATTTTATCACTTCCTAAGGAAGGTTGGGCAATCCTACTTCCGTAGTGATACTGCCTCGGAAACCCAAGGATGGGTCGCTATGAGTCGGGGCGACTCGACGGCACACAACAACAACAACAACAACAATATACATATAAAACTATCCCTATTATTTTTCAGGATGTCACTTCCACTGAGGTTCGACACACTGAGGCAAAGTGGGTCTTTGTTTTGTTAAAGTCCTTGGAACCTGACGCCATTCTGTTGGGAGACACATCTTGGAAAGCCATAGGGATGGCAAGAGAAATGGCTCCCCAAAGCAAAGTGTCATATACATGGAGCTTGGTCACCTTAAACAGAATCAGTTTTTACTTTAAAGTTTTGCTGGGACCAAGTAAAGGGTAGATTTCAGCTATTTCTGGGCTTCCAGGAGGTAGAGAAAGCTTCTGTGATCTCAACTTGAACCGCGATGATCTCGGGATACTGAACATCTTCCTGGGGTCTCTGCCCACTCAGCCATTCGGCAGCCATTCCCACAAATCTCTTTCCATTCTCTGCTCTGCCCACCCCAGGCCAGTGTTAATGTCTTCGCATTTCTCATCAAACATCCACAGTATTATTTTCTCGAGATCTCACACCAAAGCAGCCGGAACTAAACCAGGCCAGACCCGTCCAGGGCCCAGACTCGGGATAACCGGGATCCCAGGGAGCTCGCGGGCCCCGCCCCGGCGGGAGTCCGAAGCTCACGGAAGGGCAGCTGCTTGGCGGCCGCGCCGCGCGCACCTGTGTCTGCTGAATGAAACCAGGCTGGGCGAGGCCCTTCTGGCCTCCAGGATCCCCGCTCCCCAGGGCCTGCACTCCTTACCGCGCCGACGTCCAGTCGGCCTGCCTGCTGCGGGGCAGCTCACGCCGCGAGCTACGGCGGGGCTTAATGCCGAGCGCGGGCCAGCCGGGGAGCTCCGACGGGGCTGGCGGGGCAGCGAGACTGGCCGCCACCCGCCCCTCCTCCCAAGCGCGCACCTAGGTTCCGGGGCCCCTTTCTGCCCCCGCGTCCTGGTCACATGATCCACACACGGCCCCACTCACCTGTGCGGCCACAGGAAGCGCGCACACGCCGCCGGGGGCACTGAAACTGGGTTCTGACTCCCGGGGCGGGGCAGGGCGGGCCGAGCCCAGCTTTGCCCCGCCCGCCTTTGTCAAGGGCTGACTCCTGCTTTGGGCCCCACCTGCGCCTGACAGCAACAGTTACAAACAGCTCAGAGAGCAGGCTGTAGATAATTAAATTAACTTGAGAGTTCTCACAAGGTTGCCATTCCCTATCTTTTGAAAAGTTTGACGCTGGATGAAGGAAACTTGTGTACTTTATACACGTAACTACAGAAGGCAGATAGTGTGCATGTTAAACTGAAACCCACTGCTACTGAGTCAATTTCGACTCATAGCGAGCCTGTAGGAGAGCACAAGGTTTCCAAAGCTGTAATCTTTAAGGAGAAGGGCACTTTTGGCAAAGTGACTAAAGGACTCGGTTGCTCACTGGAAAGTTGGCAGTTTAAATCCACCAGTCATTCTGCATGAGAAAGATGCGGCAATGAGAAAGATGCGGCAATGAGAAAGATGCGGCAATCTGCTTCTGCAAGATTTACAGCCTTGAAAACCCTATGGGGCAGTTCTACTTTACCCTCTAAGATTGCTGAGTTGGAATCCATCCAATGAGGGTTTTTCCAATCTTTAGGGAAGCACACTGGGACATCTTTCTTTCCTGGAGTTACTGGTGGGTTTGAACCACCAACCTTTTAGTTAGTAGTTAACCACTGGGCCATGATGGCTCTTTTAGTGTATGTTAGGAAATGTTAAAAGATAGGAGAAACAAAATGAAATTCAACACTTTAATTTTGATATAAATTATGTAAATATTTTCCAAAATGTATCTGAAATTTTCCACTGTACAACATAAAAAATAGTATCTCAGAAGCTAGAGACGATAGAGTAACTGTAAATAAGGCACAAAGTTTATTTACACTCTTAATTGCAGCCTGAACTGTTTCATAATTCTTATTTACAACATCCCATAAAAGTTTTCATATTCTGAATTATTCCTTCACATTTTCTGCTTATTTGGGATAACATTCAAACACACTTCATCCACACTGATAGATTCTCTATATACTACTCACAAGACCAAATAAATAGAGAAAAAAATAAGAGATTACTTGAAGACCTCATCTTCTATTTACTTCATGAAAGAAGAGTCAGTTCCTTGTGATGAAATACCACAAGAGTGAAGAACTAACAGGGTGTTTGTAATTCACCTGAAACGTACATTATCTTTGTTCACAGTCCACTGAGCAAAACTAAAACAACTCTGTCAAGCGGCAATCTGATTGGCAGGCTAGTTTCTATGTCTCATCACTGTCATAGTCTTCTATGATCATGTCTTCTTCCATGTTTCCTTGGGCTGAAAAGGTCTGAGGCTGGCTGGCAGGCAGTTCACTCCCACTATTCTGACTCAAAGGAAGAGACCAGGCTTCGGGTTCAGCGGTCTGAGGGGGTTCATCCAGAGCTTCCTCTGTAGGCTGGGCTTCATCTCCACTGTCAGGGTCTATCATTCCAGGCTCTCTGTCAGTCAGGGCTTCCATTTTCAATCTGTCAGATTCATAATGCAGGCATTAATAACAACCAAAAGAGAGGGTTCCACTAGATTACACCATAGTGTGACGATTATGAATTCATCTCCTCTGGTCTTTCATTTACCTTCACTGTACCCTGGTCTGGCCAGGCTCTTTAGTTTCACAATATAAACAAAAGTACAAGGAAAATGACAAGCTTTGAATAAATTCTTACAACTTCAAATATAAAAGGGTTAACTAAGGTCAAGAAAGACCTCTTACAAATTAAAAAGAGAGAATTAAATATAATAAAAATAGGTATAAAACATGAATTGACAACTAGCAAAAGAAATGCAAATGTTGCTAAATAAACCGTTTAACACAATTTTACATTAAAAAATGCAAATTAAAATAATGAACAACTATTTTCCTCTTCTAAACTGGCAAAGATACTTTTACAATTATAAAACCCAGTCTTGGCAAGAATTAGGAATAAAGAATATACTCACACCTATTAGTAAGCATAACGTTTGTAAAATATCTGTGGGAGCCATCTAGCAATACAGAGCAAAGGCCTCCAAAGTGTGTAAACCTACTGATCCTGAAATTTAGCTTTTAGGAATTCATCCTAAGTGAGCAGTATTTGACATGTATAATGATTAGCTATAAGGCTGTGATAATAAAAGAAACAAGCTAACTGTACAAAAATTAGATTGGGATAAATAACAGAAAATTATGCAGCTATTAAATATTATCAAGATAAATCAAAGATCACGTTACACATGATTGCCATAAATGGAAGCTAGCAGAATCATTGTGATATGTAGTACTGACAAATCCTGCCTCAAGCCAGATCAAGCAGTTGATCAATACAAAACAGGAAGACACTCTTTTAATTGTCTATAAGCAGAAATAAGACAAAAGAAAATACGTGTTCCCTTCATTCTGATGGCGCAATCTTGAGGGAGAGGGAGGAAGGAGCCAATTAAGAGAGCTGCTCCTGCTATGGTATGAAGTGTGGGAAAGGAAAGCAAAGTTTTCCAAAGGTATGAACCCGGACCACGTCCCTGTGGCATGATGTTTAAGATCCCTCTCTATTGCTCATTGTCTTCCTGAAATAGGAAAAATGGGCTCAGCATAGATAAGCCATAATTCAGAAAGAATCAGGAACACTAGAAGGCCCTTAGATTGAGTCTATGAGGGTAAAGGAAAAAAAAAAAGTTCAGGGTACATAAAGTTTTCCATTTAGGGCTAGTAAAACAACAGGAAGGAAGGTCAACAGGTGCTATTTCTGTCATTTGCTTTTGGTTCCTGGGAGCTCTGGTAGTGTAGTGCCTAAGGCACTTGACTGCTAACCAGAAGGCTGGCGGTTCAAACCCACCAGCCACTCCTCGGAAGGAAGAT